TTTTTCAAATCAATATTATGGAATGGATAACCATCAAATAAATCACTTCATCTAAAATTTCAGACAAATCTCTTATATTTTCATCTGCATTGAAGTATTGGCAGAAGTAAGACGGAGCCAGATCAAGAAGACTTGCTTTAGTACGACATAAAATAGAAATTTGTGTTACTTTTAAGAATCTACTCACTATAATACTTTTGAAAAATAATTATTAAATAAAGAATTTGTCTAAAATTTATATAATTTGAAAATGTATTTCGTTCTGATCATTTGTTTTGGTACTGATTCAGTTGAAGTTTGAATGGATTCCAGCGTTTATCAACGAAACGTAAGATGTCACTGGTGGGTAAACCGTTGACGTATAAAAATTACAGCACAGATAAGAAATTTCGACGTGTTCAAAGTAAAGTTCATAATTTTTTAGAACGACCGCGAGGTTGGAAAGCAGCTGCTTATCATTTTGCTGTGTAAGTAATTATGCACAGTTTTGATTGCTGCAATATTCAGAATCTTATTATTACTTTAACATAATTGTTAAAAATTAAGTATTGCTTCTTTTTTGTATGTAGTAGAGAAGTTATTTGTCCGCTAAAAATTGTTATTGTACCAGATTTACAGATAAATATGTTAGTTCATAAAGACTAAATTAATATACAAAAATGAGAATAATTTTCTTTTGTAAATTTTCATGCACAAATAGCAAAACTTTACATCTAATTTGCAACATTCTGAATTTTTGCTGAAATATTAAAGTAAAGTTAAAAGTTTCACATTATTTTAATTTCTTCAAAACTATTCATTTAAATTAAATATAAATATTAGCACAGTTAATGATTATTTTACAATGAATAAATATAACCTTGAAGGTACAACTTTATTTTCAGCAGAATTTCAGACTTTTAATGGTACTGATGTGTCTCGCCCTAAGTGTCTTTTCAACGATGCCCGATTTCGAAGAACATGCAACTTTAATTCTATATTATATTGTAAGTTTTGGCTTTAAATTCCATCTTAAAGGCATAAACTTATTTTCAAAAAGTTATATTTTTGATGAAAGTTAATAATGTTATTCTTATTATCTTTCCAATTATCATATGATTAATTTTTCAATTTCTTTTGTGTTTACTTTTTTTATCTTTGATTATAATTTAGCATATTTTAAGCATTTACACTGGAAAAATAATGACCAATATTTGTATTATAAATTAGTTATATGCTGATAATTAACGCATAATACTGAAAATTGATATGAAATTAATCAAAAGAGTATTTATTTTTGAGGAAATTGTGTTTGTTTTCTGGTTAGCATTGGAATATATATTTCGAATTTGGTCAGCAGGTTGCAGGTCACGGTATCGTGGTATATCAGGTCGGATCCGTTTCGCTACCTCGGCTTATTGTATTATTGGTTTGTGTTTACTGCAATAAAATTTAGTTTATTTTTATTAAAAGAAGATTTAAATTCTAACTATTGTTGAAGAAAATTTTCTGCTCAAAATGCTAAAAAATAAATAAATTTTTGGATATCTGTATTTGTTTTTGATATATTTATTGTAGAATTTCTATTCGTTCTTACTGCACCTTGCAGTAAGAACGAATAGAAATTCATTGAGTAAACAATTGGTCAGAATAAGAGAGATATGAAAAATTTGCATATTTAATTACATTTTCACAACATGCAAGTACAGTGATGCTTTTTCCAGATATCATCGTTATTATGGCTTCTGTAATAGTGTTCTGCATGGGAGTAACTGGACAGGTTGTTTCATTATTGTTTTTTTAATTTTTTACTTAAATTTTTTGTTTTTTTAGTTTAGTTTTTTTAATTTTCAAATTGTAAGTGTCATTACTATGTCTAAAGTTTAAATATTATCACTCATACTCTTGGAATATTCATAATATGTGGATAATAAAATATTTGATGAATTTGCAAAAATGGTATTTTACTCATTGCAATAAAATTAGTAAAATGAGAGCTCAGAAATCAGAAAATAATAATTATTATTTCCTAATATTTAACTTATTATGTCTATGGGAAAATGTGTAATTAAGTTTTATGTTAATTGAAAAGTCTTCGAGAATTGCAAAGGCTTATTTTTTCATGTTTTATAGATTTTTCCTTTCTTTTTTTTGTTTTGAAAAGTATAACTTCAAATTTCAATCACCTTTAATGCAATAAGCACATAAATAGTTTAAATATAACATGGAAAAAGAATCAACTCTAAGAAATGTAATAAATTTTCGAAATTCTGAATTTTTATTTTTGGATTTTTGAGCCCTCTACTCAATCTTAATATTTCTGCTTACTTACTTACAAATTCGTCAAAATATTGTTTTTATAGAAAGTTAAAAATACATATAAAAAGATGATTTTTTAAAACAAGATTTACCGATAGAATTCAAACAGAACAAACTTTTGCTGGCAATTTGATTTTTCATGCAGTTTTCAGGTTTTGCACATTTTTAAAGTATGCTCCATTATTGACAAACAAAGTTTAATTTATTAAAATGCTTTTTTATGAAATAAAATGACAATTTTTACTGAATACATGAGTAAAAGAATTACTTGTTTATTTTTAACAAAAATTTCAATAATACTTATTGATGATATTTTTTCTTTCAAAAGCAAAAGTAAATGTTCCTATGCTCGAGCAGATATGTGCAAGTTTTTATTTTTAACTTAATTAATGAACTTCATAGTTACTCATATTTTTTGAATTCAATAATGAATTCAGCTTCATCTTGATCGTTTCTTAACATTTCAAATCCATCACAATCACTATATTTAAAAGATTATTAATTCATAATTTTTGCTCTTCTTTAAGTTTAAATTTGTCTTTTTAATTTTCTTTATTCCACTTGTTTTAAAATTCTGAACACATTCAAATATTGCTTTCAAACTTTACAGCAAATTAATAAATTTGAAGTTCTATTCTTATTCAACTTTTGGCGTATTCTAGACATACCTCTGAATAAATATTTAATCTATAACTTTTCTTGAAAATTACAGTAATTTATTTCTTTTAATGGCAAAGTGCTTATTCCTATCAAAATCATAAATGATTTGCCTCGAAAATTTTCTTCAAAACTAAAATTTGTCAAGGTTTTTATGCTTTAAAAAGTTTACTTGTTTGCAATACTCTAATTATTCAAACAATAGCTAAAATTAATATACGTTTACCGATTACAAACATATAATAAAATAAATTGCAAAGTTGTAAAAATTCAGAAATTTTGTCACAGTTTTATTTATGCCTGACTTGCCCAAGCAATATTCCTCAGTGTGATAAGGTTAAATTTAAATAATTTAATTTAATTCAATTTAATTTTTTTTTGTGCTCAAATTTTTTTGTTTGTGATTTTAAAATTGTGTACTCATTAGTATGCAAAAATAAATTTACTTTAACAGAAAAATTATTTGCTATAAGCTTGCTCACGCAAGTATAGTTTTGAAATTACAGCTTAAATACACGAAAGGATAAAAATCAAATATTCATCAAATATTTGCGATAATACCGAAAAATTAATAGTGATTTCAATTCATGCAGTAATTAACTATCAATGAACTTTGCTAGTATAATAACGTGGAGAGAAATTGTCCATTACTATCTTTACTGCATCCAAAGTCTGTACTTAAATTATTTATTCATTTACTTTATATTTGATAATGTTGAAAAATAGAAAATTGTTTCCCACCATTTTCAAAAAGACGTTTGCTTAAAAGTTTTCAATGCACAGAATGCGTTATCTTATATAAATGCATTAGATGAGATCATGATTCAGATAGATATATGAGATATGCAAGCAAGATAATTTGATCAACTTATTACTGCTCTGAATAACTTTTTTGACTGCATCAATAATTATTATTAAATGGAGAATAAATTTTGTCACTACAGAATGGGCAATCTAACAATTTTGAAAATTGTAAACGACTAAAAATTTTGGTTTGATTTTCCAAAAAGTCATTTCGGATATTTATTCAACACAATGTAGATGCTGCATAAATTTGATGTGTTTTATAAAATTTTATCAATATTTTTATAAAATTAAATGCTTTATATAATTGCTGGACAAGGATTTTGTCGTAATCCTTGTTTTTTTATATATTTAGCAACGATATACTGTGTGTGAAGCAAAACAATTGCAATATTAAGTACTGTATGTAATTTAGAAAAAACCCTTAATTATTTGCGTCACAAAACTTTGATTAAATTGAAAATAATTATTATCAGACTGTGCTAAGAAAGAGCAACTCACGGAGATTAAATAATTACAACTTTTTTACTGAGTTAAGAATATTTCTAAAATTTCAGCAAGCACTTTTTCAGAGCAAAACATTGGGATAGAAAGCTGAAGTAGAACAGTTATGAGAGTTAGCGGAAATGAAATATGATATAGTTAATGAAATGAATGAGCCAAAATTAGAAATATCTACTGAATTTGGAGTTCTATTAAAATTTCCTCTTATTGTGTTTGTATTTAAGACGAAAAAATTGTTGCTTGATTTCTGAATTTGAATTAGCTTGAGGAGAATATGAAATGCCAGTGATTATCCCTGATAAGTTTGAAAAATAAATTTTTGGTAGTTATTGATTTTATATACAATTGCACATTTCATTGCAATCTTTGAAATTGCGGCTATTTAACTATAATGAATTTTTTTTTTCAGGTATTCGCAGCATCAGCAATACGTGGCTTAAGGTTTTTTCAAATTTTACGAATGTTACGCATTGATCGACGTGCAGGGACATGGAAATTATTAGGCTCCGTTGTTTGGGCACATCGACAGGTTATAACTAGACTTGCCCATAAAAATGATCAAAATCGTTCTTATAACCTTTCAATTTATCCATAAATGAACAGAATATACACATTACAAGAATTAAATAAACTGACTGTACAAAAATGAATAATAACAACATTCTTTTCACTTGCATCTTGTCTTTCTGTCACGTCACATCTCACGTCATCCTTCACGCATATGTTTCACTTCTTGCCTCCATTAGTGCTAAAAAATTGCTCAATCTATAACTAACTAGTTACAAAGCGCAAGGATTCCTCTGTTCATCCAGTGGGGGTGTTTTGCTTTCCATCAAATCTTTTCTCTCTCTTTGTTTGTTATCCTTCTTTCGCTTAATAAGGTGGTAGAGCGTACAGAAGTCTGCGACGTCATTTTAATAATTGTTTTCAAAAATAAATATACGTGAAAATGTTATTCAGTCGATTTCCCTCCTAAATCTAGTAAGAAGTGACGGAAAGCCAACTTCTACTACTATTTGCAGTGCAAAATTCAGAATACGTTAAGTGGTAATCCGAATTTATCTAAGCCTTTATTGATTTAATACTTTACAAATTTTGAATGCCAAATTTACATTTTTCTTAAAAAACTAAAAAAATTTGTTATTTTTATAAGAATTTTGCAGGAGCTTCTCACAACTTTGTACATTGGTTTTCTTGGGCTTATTTTTTCATCTTTTCTTGTTTACTTATGCGAAAAAAGCACAAATGAAAAATATTCAACATTCGCAGATGCTTTGTGGTGGGGAGTGGTCAGTTTACTTGTTATTTTATCTAATTTGATCAAATAAAAAAAGTAAAAAGCATTTATGTATTTTTAGTTTCTTCTTTATTAATTTCTAAAAAGTTAATATTTTTTCACCAAATAAATAAATTCTATGTCTAGATAACTTTATCAACGGTTGGTTACGGTGATAAAACGCCCGAGACTTGGCTTGGCAAAGTAATCGCAGCTTTCTGTGCTCTCGTTGGCATTTCTTTCTTTGCTCTTCCTGCTGTAAGCTATGCATATTATTTTAATTTTGCGCACTTAGCAATAATGCTATCAAAAAATTATTAAATTATTAAATTTAGTAAAAAATTGCTAAATCAATAAATAAAAAGCTACCATTTTTATATTTTTGTACTTTTCATTTATTCAATTAATTTTTATTATCAATTTTATGTTCAAGTTGAGAGCACAAAAACGCTACTCAAAAATTAATTCAGCAAAAAAAAATAAAAGTTTTGAAAAAATTGACGAAAAAAAACTTCCATGCTGAATAAATTTTGCAAAACTTTTGCATTTTTGGTGCTTTGAGTTTGTTTTTTGCTTTTTCTTTAAAATTGAACATTTTTTCTAATAAATCTTAGCAATATTTCACATCGAGTGAAGAATTATACGTGAAGAAATTCTTAAAACTAACTATACACATTCCCTGATATATTTGCGTATAGGGCATATTGGGTAGTGGATTCGCACTAAAAGTTCAACAACATCAACGACAGAAGCACTTAATTCGACGCCGAGTACCTGCAGCACGTCTTATTCAATGCATGTGGCGACATTATGCAGCAACGCCAGAAAGTTGTTCTGTTGCCACGTGGCGTGTTCACTTGGCTTCTTTTACTGGCTCATCAAAGTATGCTTACTTTCTCTCTTAATTAGTAAAACTTTCTCAAACAATTATAGAATCACAAACAGAGTAAACTATTCAATACTACAAATAAAAGCATTCAAGCAAAAAAAAATGAAAAATAGCTCTACTAAAATTTTAATAAATGGTCGGAGTTTATTTGTTTAGTTTTTTTGCAAGGAAAATGCAATTTTTAATAAATTCTTAATTTTTCAGCAGCTTTTATTTTAATATCTTAATTAGCAAACTAACTTTTGGAAGTATTCAAGTTTTTTTTCAGTTTAAAATTGATATTCTTAACAAATTTGTTGTAAAACTTTAATAGATCTTCTAAATATTTGCATAATTCAATCATTTAATTTGTACTATCAAATCCATAGCAGATATTTACACTGTTTGTTTGTTTCTCATTCATTTTACTGCATGCTTTCAATAATTTCAAAAGCTAACTCTATAAGAAAAAATTCGCATGAAAACAGTGAGAATTCCATTTTCATTATCTGATTCATTACAAAAAACTTACTTGATCTACAGAGTCAGATTGAAATTTTTAAATCGGTAAATTTTATTCTAATTCATAAATTAGACTCCTAAAAAATATTATTTTTGAATAATTTAAAATGAGTAAATGAGCATATTTTTACATCATCGTTGGAAGCACACATTTTACATTTTACATTGTGAAAATGAAAAATGAATTTAATTGATGCGATACTTAAATAAAAACTATTTATAATGTTGAAGACATATCTATTTGTTAAAACAACTGACAAATTTGTTTGACTAATTATCAATCTAAATTTTTTAATAGTTATTTTAAAATTATATAAATTAATCTTTTCTTATATTTGTTTTATTCAAAAATTTCGGATCATATTTCCGAAATGAGCGCTAAATAGGTAAAATTTTCATGCCCATTTTACTAATAAATTGAATGCCATTTACGTGAACGATTTTTAAATTACTAATTTAATTGTACATTTTGCTTGCAAAAAAGTAATTCTTGTTTTTAATAAGTGTTGTGATAACTTTCATAGTTTTAGTAATTGCATTTAAATTAGTTGGAAAAGTTATTTTTTGAGCAAATATTACTTGTTTTTGCATACCACTCGTATTAATTAATACAATTTTAGCATTAACCAACTGTAGTAATGAAAAAAGGAATGATAATTTGCATGTTGAATTGAGATGAAAGGGTTTGGTTGCCCTCGTAGCGAATAAAGCACATTTCAGCAATTCCGTAATGTGCGTTGGAAGCAAGAAAAGTGAAATATGGCGTGAAAAGAAGTATTTCTTATGCGTAAAATGGTTGAAGAGAACGATAAACTTCTCACGAGCCATTTATTCAAACAATGAAACTGTGCCTGAGATTGTAAGGCGAGTTTCTCCGAGAGCTCACTCTTATTGAGATCTCTTAGAAAATCTCCAAATATACTTACTATCTATTATTTGGTTGAAAATTAATGCATGCATTTCATATTTTTATTATTTATTAAAAAATATTAATACTTAAAAGTTATCCAATTATATAATTGTTTTAGCACTGACTAACTTTAAGTACATCTTTGCACACTATTAATGTTATTTTTTCATTTGCGTAATAAATTTTTCAAATAGGAATACAAAATTCTTTATTTGCTTTATACTATTCAAAATTAGTAGCCAATATTTCTTATTTAAGTTAAGTGACATTTTAATTATTCACTTTTTCTAATTTGCTTCGCATGCCAGAAGCATGTTGCTGTTGTTAAATAACTCTTTCATTGCATGTTATTCTGACTTATCTGTCAAAAATTAATAATGTTGTAAATTGGTTGGTAATTGCTTCTTCTAAACATTATTACAGTATATTAATAGTTATGTAGCAAATTTTGCATATGCGTGCAAAGTTATTAATCTCATTTTAATGCTTTACTGACTTGCAGAAAAAAATTTGATTTTATTGAAAACATTCAAAAATTATCAATGCAAAGATTGCAAATAACTTTAACAATGTAATTTAAAATAGACAGTTGAATCATTATTTTCTGTATTGGATTCCTTTAATTAATCTTTAAGAGTAAAACAGACGATAATTATTGTTCAAAGATTACATTGCAAGTGATAAAATTCTATCTCAAAGAAAATGATTTAATAGCTATTATTAATTGATTTTATAAAATTCTAATAATTCTTACAGAGTTTATTGTTATTATTATTACTTACAAATTTCACAAGCATTTTTTAAAAGCAATTAAGATAACCATTTAATTTTGTGCAAAATTCAATAAATCTTTTTTACATTTAGTGTTATCAAATATTTCAAGTTATATTTAGTGATATTAGATGTAAGAAAGAATGATTGAATTATTTGATGAATTTTAGACTAGATCTAAATTGCTCACTTACTCATTTATTCCTGCAAAAATTACATTTTAACTTTGTACCTTTGTACCTTTGACTATACAACTCAGTTTGCTTCTTAATCTTATAATCAGAAAACTTTATTTAAATGGAGAATGCTCTTCGGTATTTATTTTAAGACGTAGACTGTAAAAAAATCTTTTCAAAGCTTTTGTTTAAAGTAAGGTGTAGTTAGCGTGGGCGTCCTCACTTTTTGGATTTGTTGAAGGTTAGATAATATAGAAGGAACAATCCATCGAATGAGTGAAAAAATTTTTGACAAATTTTAGTATTAAAAAGCTTTTTTATTCATTCAATGGAAAATTAAGAACATTCGAGACACATTTTGGTATTTTTTGCATAACTACAAAACTGTTTATAATTACGATTATTATAGTGGACGAAATGGTGGTGGTGGTGGTGGTGGTGGTAGTGGTGGTGGTGGTGGTGGTGGTGGTGGTGGTAGTGGTAATAGTTGTCAGCAAAGTTTGATCAGCAGAATTCGGCAAGGTACCAGACGAAGAACTACTGGATCAAATGTTATTAGTCATTCTGAAAGTACTCTTGATCGTGCAGGAAATACAGCTGAAGTAGAAGCAGGGAGTACTTGTCATCAGGATTCATCGATGGCTCGTTTGCTGACAATGCCACGTCAAAGCGATGACATCAGGTTAATTAACTATTTTTCTAATATTTTATTTATTTACTAATAAAATACATTTATAATTTTCACTACTCTAGATAATATTATTTTTCATTGATTGGAAAAGATAAAACACTACTTTATCATTATTATTATTATTATTATTATTATTATTAATTATAACCTAGCTTTTGAATTTGAGGCAACTTCTATGTCTCAAAATTTGGACTTGCAAAAAGAAATAGAAAAGATTTTCAGTTTTGTATCGACTTCTGACTACAGCGAAGTAGAAAGTTTGGGCACATTGGGTTTCAGTTTGAGTGGTTGGAAAGCAAAAAGTCGAAACAGTACAGGTGGTGTTTTCAGGAAAACTCATGACGATTCTTCAGGAGGTCACAGAGCAGTTACTGCTACTGCATCTCTTGGGGTCACTGATATAGGTTAGGTTTTTTAATTTTGTTTCAGTCCTCTTTTCACTTTAGCGTACTATTTTTGCTCGACTGCATTATTTAGATTAAAAATATTTTATTAAGATGTATATGAGAGCATTTTTTATTTCAATAAGTTTTACATAGTTCAAGTAGAATTTTGCAAATTGATCTAGGAATCTTATGTTGAGATGAATTGAATTCCCAATTCAAATCTGTACAGTATTTATTTGAAAAATGAATAATTATCAGTTCCAGTTCTATATTTTTCGAATTGAATTTTTTATCTATATTATATTATTGTCTTTCTGTTTTTAATTTCCTTTCTACTTGTGGACAGAAAGGTTAGAAGTTTAGCACCGATATTGCTTTTTTATTCAGTTCATAATTCTTATAACTTATAATTCTGTTTTCGTAGTCTTACATTGCTTTAATCATAAATCATTAATTGCTGATTAAAGAAAAGAAACTGCTGGTGCTTATATTATTGTTTAGAGAATCTTTAATCTTAAAATATCTGAGTTCCATGTATTCAAGCAATAATTAAATACATTGCGGAAATTGATGAATAAATTTATTACCATAATTATTGTTATCATTGTTATGTTATTATAATTACTATTATCATTATTTTAAATATATGATAGTCATCATCCATACTTTTAACTGTACTTCAACAAGTAATGCTGTTTATTTGACTTGAAAACTTGTATTTCAAATGTGCTGTAGGGTGATTTAAGAAGTTTTAATACGGAACAATACATGCGAATTTGCTACTCAGTTAGTATTAAAAATGAATTGTTTCGAGATTGGTTTTGAGTGATTTAATTGTGATAAAGTTTTGTTTTTATCATTTACTTTTCTATCAGGTTGGCTCAATTTTCCCCTTCATGTACACGTTTGCACCTGCTGATTTACTGATTGGTATTCTTTAGTAGTTAGTTAACCATTACTAATTGTGTTTTGGTTAGTGTGTGCCGTTGTGCCTCAGCCTTGCTTTGCTTCTTCAGAAAATCTTCAAGTAACGGATGAATCAACGAAACCCAAGCAATCACAATCTATTTACAAATGCTTATCAGCTGATGATGGTACGGAAATGATCTTAGGTGATTACAATTTGGTTATGGCACCACTCTATCAGTGGTGGCTTAAAATGCAGGCGAAAAATCATGAAGCTGAAGAACGTGATGTATCGGTAGCAACGATGTGGGGACAACTTGGCTCATGTGCATCGCTGCCCAAATCTCGGCGTTTACGTCGACAACCTTCTGCTGATATCTACAATATCGGTATTTTCAAAATTATTCTCCAACAACTTTTTTTTCTGATTTTCGAAACTGCTTTTGCTACATCATTTATGCATGCGTATACTTTAATATCCTTTTCCATTACAAAATTTAATAAATTAAGTTAAATCCTAAAATTTTGAATTTTTGTTCTTAAATTGCAACAGCCATATATGTACTCCTCGTCAGTTTTTGCTTCTGTTTTTTTTCGTTTTGACCATTTCATCGAATTTCTAATTTATGAAAAACGGACTGCGAAAATATTGTGTTGCATGTGGTTTCGCTGAATATAATTACTAAGTAGCATAAAAATTCAATTCTAAAATTTTTTCTATCTGCTTCATTTTCTAAAAACAATCAAAGTTTAAAGTTCACTCTCGAAATTTCATTGATTTTAGATACTTCGGATTCATCACTGGTTGAACAGTAGCAGCTGATGTTAGTAGTTAAGAGTTGTACACAACCTGAACATCTATGAATAACGGACAGCGAATTCATTATCATTACAATAAGATAGACATATACTGAGAGTAGAGCAATTCTGTTTATGGGCTTGTTGTTTGAATGATAATTAAGTAAATTTAGAATGTGATGGTTTGAATTCTATTTCACAGCTAAATTTAACAATCATGCATTTTTTGCATTAATCATCGCAGTGATAAAAAATAGTCTAATATGCAAGTATAATATTTTTAGTGCCAAACTTGATAAATTTACATTTTTAAAGAAATTATATAAATATTAATTAATATATTGCTTGGCTCTGCTGAGTTGCTGAGCAGTTGAGCTGCCAGCTAGTCGATCGCATTGCAAAGTAGGAAGCAGCAAATGCAGGAAAAACGGGAAAAAAAACGGAGCCTGGAATCGTAAATGAAAACAAATAGAAAACAAGTGAGGTTGTTGAAGAAAGCTTCGTGAAGGCCATGGGAAAGCATTCGACCAATGTACCGAACCAGAAGAACGGATTGCTGGTCGAGTACACGAGAGTGCGGAAAGATGATCCAACGCAAGAATCAAGAAGATAAAAAAGAAGATTAACCTCCGACCTACTACATATGATATTAACATAACATATTAATAGAGAACCATTATAGCTTGCATGTGTATATTATCTAATTAATAAGTAGCTAATCGTTTTTAATTTGTAATAGATTCATTATTATGAGGTGGTCTGTTCTCTTGTAAATGGCACCATAAAGAATCTTAAAATGATTTTTCCAAAGCTGATAGTAAGAATGTTAATTAGCAGCATATAATTTTCAAATTTTGCTCATTTTCTATTTCATTAAAATGAAATACTAGGTTTGCAGCCTTTTTTTTAAAAGTGTTTTGATATATTTTTTTGAATTTTCCTGGTTAACAATATTGTAAAATGTTTTACACATCTTATATATGTAATTGAGGAGTTGTAACTATTGACTTATTTTGGTTAATCAATTATTTTTGTTACTAAATTATGTATTGGAACTTTATATTGTAGATGGTACCATAAAAATTTTTGAAACTTGTAATATTGCAGATGAAGATTCCCCATCATTGCAACCAAAGACAATGGACGAATTTACACCACTGCTGAAAAACGTCATTCGTGCAATACGTCGTATACAACTACTAGTCGCCAGACGTAAATTTAAAGAAGCGCTAAAGCCTTATGATGTCAAAGATGTAATCGAACAATATTCCGCAGGACATGTCGATCTGCAAGCACGCGTCAAGCATGTGCAGCAAAGGTAAGTATTACTTTTTACTGTTTCTTTTGTAAAGCATAAATGCAAAAAAAACAAATTTGCATATTTTAAATCACATTTTATGTTTGAATTTTACGTTATCATTTTCTTTGGCAAATATTACTTCAATATTTCAAATTCAAAGCATTTTTCGAAAATTTTGTAAAAAATGTTCCCACTAAGTGAATCTAGCTTATAATTTTCAGGTTAGATCAAATTGTAGGAAAACCAAAAGATGAAATGAAAGTATCTTTGACACATCGTGTTATTATAATGGAATTACAGGTTTTGATTTGTTAATTCTGTGTTAAAACAGAGCACTAATTTTTATTTTTCATGTCTGAAATTTTGTACTGTCGAAAGTTTACAGATTCGTTGGAATTATTGTTGCAGATGCAGAAAATAGACAAAAAACTTGATTTACTTGTGGAAATGATTTTGGAAGATAAAAAGCAAAAGAATCAATCATGTAGTTATCCACTTTCTTCTCGTCTTCCAAGTTGTTCTTCACAACGTTTCATGGCCGCCGGTGATACGAGCAGATCAACGTAGTAACTCTTCTGAAGTTTTCACATTTTACTACATTTCTTGATAATCATGTTATCGATTAAATGTCAGTAATAGAATATGTTTGTTTTTTTTGAATGAAAATAAATTTTGAGCAAAGTTTCAGAGCTGATAAATCCGATCGCATACGAATTTTTTCAAATAATTTGGAAAAAGTTCCTTCACTGGTGAATACAATGGAAAAATATGATCAATCTTATTTACAACAACAAACCTCTCTTTGTTTGTTGTCGGATATTTCGAGTATGTTATATTTTCCATCAAGAATTATGATCAATAATTCTTAAAATTTTTAAACTTTTGAAAGAAAAAATGAACTGAATTCGTTTTGTTTATTACCATCTGGAAGAAAAATTGCATAACGATTATATAAAAGTTATAAACAGTAAGTAATTTTGAAATTGATTATTAAATATTAGTCTGATGATCGAATTTTAACTTTAATTTCAACTGAAGAGAATTCTGATCACTCAACGGATATTTTATCTGACCGAACTCAATTCTGGACACCTTTGAATTCTCCTAATTATACCAGTTACTCACGAAATGCTCCTCCAGATATCGAGAAAAGCATGGCAAGTAATGAATTAGAAACTTTGTTAGACTGCGATAAAAATACAAAATCCAGCGATGCATGTAATAAATTTTCTGATCATTTTCGCTCGTGATTACTGAAAATTACGGTTTTGTTAGGATCTTTACAATTAGAAAAAGCATTAAACGAATCATTCGATCTAATCACTTCTGTTGTACTTTTTACTTTTATCCTTTCAGAATTAAATAAAGCTGCTAAATTTTGATCATTCTTTTATGTAAAATTTGTTAGGCAAAAATCTGAAATGATTTTATTGCATTTTATTGTTTATTTCAATAAGCATTTACAAATTGTGATATTGTTTTCTCAATCATTTATCATTAATTGTTAATACATATCGTTATCATCACTATCATAACCATCTCATTTTGTTGTGTTCCTTAGTTTTGCTCATTTTGCAATTTTTATGCTCTGTAGATAAATATGTTATTTCATCTCAGCTTTGTGCAATTTTATTCTCTGTTGTTTGATTCATTACAAATGTTTGAAATGGTTGAATTTGAATTTTAATATGCAGTTTAAAATATTTTACAAGATTACTTTTTTGATAAATAAAAGTCTGATTATGCAGCAATTTCTCATAATAATCAACGCTGTACTTGAAAACTGCACTGAATTTTTATAACTAAATGCTTTGAATTTTAATCTTGAACCAAATGCTATTTAATCACGTCTATTCAGATAAAGGTTTTATAGTTAGAATTTTTCTACGTAAAATTCATATAATTTTAACGTGAGTGTATTAGTTTACATACTTTATGACTAGTTCGTGAGCAAAAACGTTTTAAGTGTTATTCTCATAAATAAGCACCAAATGATAGTTAGAATTTTGAATTACAATTTAAAATAATGATTTTTTTCTTCAAGCTACTATATGACATCAAATAGAGTCAAGAATCAAAAGGGTTGTGTTAATAAATGAACGCAGATTTTTCTAATGAATAAAAGTGTTAGCTTACAATTTTATCTTTAACCTTAGCTGAAACATTATTTTGTAACATTTTCACTTGCCTTATTATTAATGACGAACGAAAAGGTAATGCTTTACGCAGAAAAGTTGATTTTTTAAATAGTAATACAAAAACAAAAGGACTCATTTGTCAGAAACACTTAAAATATGAATATTTGCATATAATTTTTGAAAATAGTCCCTTTGGCAAGCAAAAAATATATTGCATACTGTTTTAATATCATATACAGTTAAAAAAATCCTTAATGCTCAGTAAATAAAATTTAAAAAATTTACTGAGCATTAAGAAATTTTTTAGTATAAAAATGCGGCTACCGCCTATAAAATGAAGAAAAACTTGGATCTAAGGTCTGTGTATGAATTATTATCTATGTCTATCAACTTGCAGCTTATAAAGGAACGATTTGTATGTGATAAAAGCTTCTTCACATATTTTTCTAAGAGTTTGAAAAAGTGGAGGAGAAATGCAAGTAATCCCCTCATTTTCTGGCTTGCATTCATTTTACTACCATTGCTTTGAACTGTTTCCTATCCGATTATAATTGCAAAATGACGTGAAAAAACGTGAAAAATCAATAATTAAAAATATGTGAACAAAAATATGTTGAAGAAGTAGGCAAGAAATAGTCTCACATATTATGCATAATTTTTGATGGCACTGCCAAGTCATTTTGGTATGGTTTGCGCGTATTTAATATTTTGCACAAAAAAAGAACACTTAAAGCTTTACTTAGCTAATTTTGTTATATTATACTTAAAATTATATTTATTATCTAATCCTCTTAAAGCAATTTCATAAGCATTACTATGAAAAGGTATTCATCTAAATTAGATAATTATTAGATTGAATGCGACGATGGATGTAAGAATTGAATGAAATTTGCATAACTGACGAAGGAAAGTTGGCAAACTGTTTGGATTTGCTGAATAGTACTGATATTTGTTTGAAGTAATTGCGTACAAAAAATAGACTTCAAATGATTGGTCCTTATGCTTATATTCAAGTATATCTACTAGACAATAAAGTTCCAGAAATTTTAACACGTGAAATTTTTTAGACGAGAAGTAAAGTGTGCAAAATTGATGCGTATAATGAATACAATTTTATTGCAGATAATATGAAATATTTTTCCACTTTAACTGTAGCTTTTGACTAGTCTTAATTTATTTTAGAGTAGACTTAATACAGTAAAACATCATTGCAATTCATATCAAAGAATCAATTGTGATATTTGTTTTAATTTTTTCACTGCAAAAGCTTCAGTGGCAATAAAGAATCAGTATTTTTGGTTCATTGAGCTTTGACTTTCTTATTCAAAAAATAATATTTCTAGAATACAGTATTAATCGAAGGAGTATATTTGTGATACTTCTAAGGAGTGAAAAATAATTATTTTGCCTACTGTTATATAACCACAAGTAGAAATTTTTAAATTCGAAATCTGTAAAACAACCAATAAATAATTATTGTAATATTTCGTAGTTTAATTTAAATTTAAAGTCAATCAAGATAAATTAGATGAAATAACAGACTTTTATAAATAACCAAACTGAAAAAGAATTGATTGAATTATAAAAGTGAAAAAGTAAGCAATCTAATTAGTGTAACTAAGCAATAATCACTTCTTTTAAATCATCAAAAACCAATTATTGTATTCAATTCAGCAATGTGTTTTACTGTATTAAGTCTACTCTAAAATTCAAATCAACTCTTTTGATGATTATTGCTGAATTGAATACAATAATTGGTTCTATTTTAAATCTTGAATGCAATATACCTAAATGTTTTTGCATTAATAAAAATTGAATTAATGAATTGAATATATTTTGACCTTTTGACACCGAACTTTTGTACTATTAGCAAAACCAATTTACTGTGCACTTTAATGCAGTGAAACGTCATTGCTGTTTACTGGTTCTATTTTAAATCTTGAATTTCTGGCAGAATGCGTCTGAGAGAAAAAATTTTTCTGGACATTTACTTGCAATACAGATCTGTAATGATTGATTGCCTCGCTGAGCAAAGCTCTCTCAAGCAAGCGGACCCTTTGACTTCCAAAAATGATTTATGGCTGCAAGGGGAATGTGCTGTATGGTCCCTTGAATGTGTTCAAACCGCCTCCCTCACATAGCAAAATCGTTCGGTCCCTTTGCAGTTGGATAAAGTGCCTGAAGGATGTGTGAAGTGTCTGCGCTAGTTGATATGGTTTCTAAGAATTGATTTCTAGAGACATTATTGTTTGAGGCAATCAGATTCAGGCAAAAGCTGTGCTTACCCGCTCAACAATTGCTTAGTACATGCACAGGCATACATTGAAGATTGAGTTTCAGATTGCTAATCGCTAATGATTGTCATATGTAATGAATAAAGCATAAAATATAATTTTTCACATCTTTTATCTTAAAATGAATTTTGAATGTTATTCAGTCTCAGTTGTCCTATAAGTAATTCAGTACTTCTTTTAGACTTATTAATTGGAATGTTTTGTAAGTGTACAGCGCTCTCAGCTTTGAGTAATTTTTGCTATTATCTGTCACTGATGCAGAAATGTTATCAAAAATTGCTCTTTATTCTGATAGTTGCGGCAGTGTCTTTTTACCATCAAGTATTGTTTATGCACTGATTGAACAGAAGTGCTGATCAGTCAGACCTTATGTGCGCACACTGAAATAAATATATTAACAACGTCTGAATTTGAAATTACTTGCAAAGCAAATTTGAGCACAGACAAATTTATTTGATTGAAAAGAATAAAATTGCTAAATGCTGTGCAAGCTAATCTTTGCTGAAACAAAATAGCAAATCTTTCAGTGCCTGTCAAAAGCTCACTTTTGCAATGTAAAAAATGATATTCGCTGCACGAACTGAATTATTTACTGATGAGGAATAAAATACAAATCAGATTACTGCTATTTTTTAATTACTTTATTTTAGAACCTAATTCATGATTCAATGATTTTAACAAAAGTTTATAAATTTGCGATATGAATGTGAGTCTGACTGAATATTTAACACGTTCTTTAAGTTATTTTCAAATCTATAATGTTTTTGAACGGTAACTGGTCTTATTATCAGTAACAAATTATAACACTCGTTTTTCTGTGATTTATAATTGTATATTACATTACAGTTGAAATATTAATCTGATTGCAGGTGACCAATAGCAGAAATTGCATTACTTATATTTAAGCAGAGATACATGAAAAGATATTTACAGTAGTTGCTGATAAATGATAGAAAACTGGATTTTCGTTATTATGTCATTTTCAAGTTTGTAAACTAGATTAACATTTTGGGAATATATGCAATAATATTTATTTTAATAAAAATTATCAGAAATTATCGATTTTTCAAGTAATGATGAACACATTTAAGCAAGAACAACTATAGAAAGATGAAGTATAAGATAATTTCTGATA